CAGAGCGGGGGCTGGATCACCGGGAACTGGCTGTTGGGCTCCGTCTCTGCTGGAGCTCCCCCCTTGGACCCGTGTGCTCTGGTTAAGGCCTCTGTCCCCTGCTTCTGACACTGCTGTTGATAATAAAGAAAAATTTTGTAAGAAACCTCCTGGGGAGGAGGAGGCGAGACCTAGAGAGAGATAGGTGGGCTGTCAGCTTGAATGTTCAAACTGCCCTTCCAGCTTGGTTAGGATCCCATCCATTTCCAATGATGCAACTCACCAGCCCTGCCCTGTGCTAGCCTCTTCTAGGAGATGCCAACTTGCTTGTGTTGGAAGTGAGCCTGGAAAGCTCTTCTGAATGACTTTTTGCTGTAGCAAGTTGCTCCTGAGCAGCAGAGAAGTTGTTTCGGAGGGTGGCTGCTGCTCCAACCCACATCCTGCTGTAGCAGAGCAGTCCTGAGAAACATTTGAAGGACAACCTCCCCTACCCAGAGAAAGGTCTCTAACCTGGTCCCTGCATCTCATGGCCCTACTTGTGAGTGAAGGCTTCAACTCAGTAATGTTGTCTGGAGGATCAGACATGTCTTACTTGTTCTTTCCTTAGAGCCTGGTCTGAAGCTCTGCAAGATCTTTCTCTGCTGCCTCTGCCTACAGGAGGGACTCTCAGTGCTTGCTGGAGGAAAGGCTTTCCCAGAGCAGCAGCTGCCTGCTGCAGTTAGTGTATTAACTTTCTGCAGACTAGCAGGATTAAGCCGCTGGTCCTCCTTCTTATGCTCAGGGTGCAAATTCTTCAGGATCATTCTTTCATCTGCTGCATTGTAGAGGTGTCTACTTTGGCTTCAGTTCAGTGCAGCAGCTTCCGCTTATCCGGCAGGTTTAACAGTAAAAAAAATCGGGCTTTATTAATGTTTGAAGTAGAAAATGAGGAGCTAATAGTTCAAGACTTGAAAACTAAATGCACGGTGTGGGCTCCAGCAGCTCATAATGTGTTGTCACGACCTCTTGAAGTGGGCAGCACTTATGTCAGAGGAGACTGAGCTGAAAAGTAAAAATCGCTGAAGAGAATTGGTTCTGTTTAGCTCAAACCAGGACAACTTAATGTATCATTTTAGAATATATGACCAGTTAATATCTGCATAAAATCATGGTTTCCTGATGGGGCCATATGCTACATACATAGGCTTGTAGCTTACACAGGTGACTTTGCCAGTAACAAGGTACTCTTCCCTAAGCCTGTCTTTTTGGGGCCGACATACTTGGTCACGCACATGAGTGTGTGTAGATGGACACTTGCATTACTGTTGGGCTAGAGACTGCAGTTCCCAAACCCTTGCTCTGTCCCACATCATGGACAGATTTCCACCTTGACTCTTTAGAACAATCTGAGTAGCTGCTGTGGGGCTGGGTGCCTCAGTTCTGTTTTAACTTCTCTCTCATGGGGAGATGGGTGGAATTATCCACTCAGCCTTGGTCTCCTTGCTTTGCCCTTGGTTACAGCTTCCTGTGGGGAAGGTGTGATGTCTGGAGATGTCCCAACAGTGTGTGGTTCCTCCTTCTAGTGGGTGGGTTGGGGGTGGCTGTTTGTGCACGTTCTGGAAAGTGTCTTCCCAAAAGCCAGTGACTGTCAGCCTCTGACCCCGTGCAAACCTGCAGACAGGGTTTGATCCTCCAATTCCTCTAATGTGTCTGAGACATTCCAACATGTCTCTCTTGCTCAGTTATATTGTAGAAGAAATGGGCTGAAACCTCCCTGATTTCACTCCATTCATTGTGGCCCCTGACACAAGGCAGGTGTAATGATAAACCAGATAGATGACTTGGGAAAAAGTAAACAAATCTCTTGCAATAAGAGCAGCAACGGTTTGGAAGTGGACAGATCATGAAAAAAAGCCTATCACTTTTTTTTTTTTTTTAACAAGGATGTGCATCCTCTTCCCTCTGGTCATCCTTGGTTGTGGGGTTGCACACGAATCCTCTTCACTCTAACTTTTCAGGACACTCTTCTTCCTCACAGACAGATCCAAAGCACCTGCGGAAGGACTTGCTAAAGGCCCTGACTGGGGCCAGAGGATTGGGTGCTGCTGATCTGGGCATCAGATGGGCCCTGATGTGAAGGTGCCGGTAGCTGGACAACTCTTCCCAGATGACAGTGCCGAGGGAACAAATGGTCCCAACTTCCCTCCTGTGGCCCATCAGGCAGAGCAAGGGTCCTCTTCTGCTCTGGGGCCAGGGCAGGGAGCAGAGCCCTGTCACACACAAAGGAAAGGTTCTGCTGGGGTAGGTGTGTGTACATGTGTGGGGTTGGCTGTAGTTTTGGTGATGTGTTTGTTTGTTTGATAGTTGGAGTTTGTTTGATAGATGGGTTTGGGGGGTTTTTTTAGTATTATTTTTGTGGTGGGGTAGGTTTGTTCTTGTTGTTAGCCACAAGAATGGGAGGAAATCTCCTGGGCAGCTGCCACAAAGGCAGGAACACACACGCGCTCAGCCTAGTGCAGCACTGCCTGCCCTCGGCCAGTGTCCTATGTGTGATGGGCAAGGACCTGGCTCAGCCCAGCAGTCAAAGTGTTCCTTCTAGATGCTTCTTCTGGATGGTTGAAGGGTGCATGAGTAGTACTGTGTGAGAAGGTCTGGCTCATGGCTGGGGGAAGCCTAACAGCATTGGCTCCAGTGGCAGGAGCAGCAGGAGATGGAAAGACAACAGGGCTGGTAGATGTAAGCAGCTCTGGGTAAAACGTGGCTCCAGGCAGCAAAAGAGGGAGCAGAAGTGAAGGAGGCACAAGGGAAAGACAAGAAGGAAAAAAAAAATAAAAATCTGATGCGCTCTGTACCTCCTGCCTTGGGACAGGATGGCTGTTTTGGGCCATTGCCTGTGTGCAGAAGGAAGACAAACCCCTGAGTGGAGAGAGAGAGTTTGGGAAGGGTGTATGTATAGAAGAACGAGTAAATGTCTCAGATTTTTTTTTAAAAACAAAGCAAAACAAAAAATACAACAAATCCCCCAAACTTTCCCTCTCTAACAACAAAGAAAAAAACCTACAATCACCTCACACCCCCAAAAAAATCCCCTACCCAATGCCCAAAACAAAAAGGAGAAAAAAACCCACACCCAAAACCAAAAATCCAAAAAACACTCAACCCCCCAAAAAACCCTTCAAGTCATGCACGTATTTAATTTTAACAAATGACACAACTTGCCTATTTTGCAGGATATGTGATGTGGTCCAGGAGGTAAGTCAGGTGGACCAATGTGATGGCTTCTAACAAAATATTGTCCAGTGGGACAGGAGAAAGCCAGTAGCAGTTCCAGGTAGGGGCGTGTTGTCTGGGTGTGCAATCACCCCCCTTAGCCCTCAGGCACTGTTGCAGGTCTCTGCTGCATCATCCCAGTGACCCCAGACCCTCTCAGTGGTGGGACTGGGTAGAGAACACTGGCTGGAATTCCCGCAGCAGGCTACGAGTCCCTGCTGCCCA